AAGAAGAAGAAGAAGAGGAGGAAGAAGCAATCTTCATGTGATGGGGTGTGAGAGAAAGCGCTCGCCTCACAGATTACATGTATTCGTTTCTGGTGAAGCAGGCAAGGCGCAATAATAACATGGTAGCATATACGGCAGAGTCCCAGGTAGCATGGCCAAAGAGAGAGAAGCCAAGATGGCCAAGATGCTGCTAAATTGCGGTAGCTAATAATAAATCATTACAGATACAGGTACGAAGCAGTACGGAGTAGCCGTACATGGACGTATAACCGGATACAGACGGATACGGATTAGACGGAGTAGACTAGACGGAGTAGACTAGACGGCGTAATCTAGACGGCGTAATCTAGACGGCGTAATCTAGACGGCGTAATCTAGACGGAGTAATCTAGACGGAGTAATCTGTAGACTAGACGGAGTCATATCGATGAGCCCACATGAATCCTCGTACGTACAGAGAGAGAGAGAGAGAGCGAGGTATCCTTCCTCTCCTCCATATTATACAACATCAACCGTCGCTGCTCTGCGCTGTTCGATACAGAGGTACCGAGTGATGTAACAATACCACTGCTACACATTACAAGCATGGATAGTCACCCTCCGCACGAGCATGCACAGATCATACAATGTACCGATACGTTATATAATGATACTGATACTGCTGTACGGGATACGGGATGCTCCATCCGTACGAGGGATGATGCCCCGTACTGTCAGTCTATCGAATTCACTAGTCTAGCCTGGCCATCCCGTACTCCGTACTCCGTAGCAGGTGAAGACCAGGGGGTTTGATGAACGGGACTGCTGATGACCTTCCCTGTCGTTTCACGCTTGGCAGAGAACGACGACTGGGTTGCATTGCATTGCCGGTGTCTCTGTCTGTCCCGATGCCGTCCCACTACTCATCAGACCTTTACATGCACATTGATTGACCTTTTTATTTATTGATTCAATTATTTTATTTTTATTTTTAACATTGACATGCGCGCAGTATTGATATCCCTCCTTGACCCCCCCCCCCCCCCCCCTCGTGTTCTTCACCTCTCTTCCTCTCTATCCATATTATCCATATATATAATAGTTCGCATCCCATCTGGGGAACCTAGAAAAGAAAAGAAAAAAACAACTTCTCTAGACCAGGCCACTCAGAGAGATGATACGAGCCGTCGACATCCTGACCCGCCCCGCCTAATACCATCTATCGCCTTGGCACTTCCGTAGGGATCACATTGCAACTCTGTCGGTAGAGACCAATCATCAGTATCGTTCCCCTGCATTAGTCTACGGGCTCGACCTCTATCGACCTTTTATTTTATTTCTCTCTCTTTCTTCTTTCCCCTCTCCTTAGGCTTCTCCTCCAGCTCGGCCCCCCCCCCCCTTCCCCTTTCCCTCTCTCTGCTTCTCTCTCGACCCGATTGTATCCTTCTCATCGATAGCAGGCCTCTACGAGTACATGTAGTATACACCTGTACCTGTCACTCCTCGTACCTTTGGTCCTCTCTCTCCAGAGCTCTCCGTAAATGGCTCGTTCTGATCTGTACTCGTTTGCGCACTGCCGATGATGATACTACCGTACGCGCACACAGCAACCATCACCGTCCACACCGCACCGTCCGTCCCACCGCACCGTCCATCCACCGCACTGCACCGCACCGCACCGCACCGCACCGCACCGCACCGCACCGTCTATCATCTGACACCGTCGCCTCTGCCGCCATCGTCTCAAGTGGGCGGGAAATTTTTTACTCTTCTCATTCTCTTCGCATACGCCTTCTGACACGCGAAGTAAACCCCTCCCCCCCAAACGTCTCGTAGTGCAAAAGTCTACAGCTAGCTATGTGCATTCATCCGTTGAAAAAAACAGAAATGGAAAAAAAAGAAATGGAAAAAAAAAAGAGAGAGAGAGATAACGGCTTGTGTGAGGAACATCGTCGCTTCGTGCCGAGACAGATTGATATGCATCTATACGAGCTGTGATGTGTAGATTGGGTGGGAGATGAGCTGCTACGACTTGCTGATAATAATACTAGCTATTCTGTCCCATCTCCATCTCCTCAACAGATCTGTCCTATCCCATCTCGATGAATCTTGAGAGAGAGAGAAAAAACAAGAGAAGACTAAAGCTAAACTTGATTGAACCCGTGTTGTATCCCCCGGTAGCGGGTCGAATCATCGCCACTGCAACTTTGGCCTTGGCTCTGGCCTTGGCTGCTCTGGCCTTGGCTCTGGCCTCGCCACTGGCCTCGCCTCTGACATCACAATCATCCATGGACCACGACCCTCCAAGAGACAACCCAGATCCATCCTCGTCCATCTAGCAAGCGTCCGAGCCTGGCAACCGACGTCCCAACACAATCTCCGGCCTTCAGGAAGACGCGGGAAGCAGAGAGAGAAGAAGAAAGAAGGAGAGGAGGATCCTACCATGGCCGACCAGGGACCCATCCCCCTCTCATCCATCCGAACCCTCCTCCTGACCAGCCACGCCCAGACCGCTCACCGTCGCTCCCCCCCGATCCCCCAGCTGTCATGCGTCGACTCCGACCCGTCTCTGTGCCGCCTGGCCCGATCCTCCATCACCACCATGACCTGTACCAGCCTAGGCTCGGACGGCCCCGGTGCATCCGACGGCGGCCGCGAGGACGAGCCGTCGGCGGCCGCGGCGGATATCCAGTGGTCCTGCCAGGCCGACCTGCCGGAGGAGATACGCCTGGGCGCGACCCACGTCGTGTGCGAGGGCTACGACTCCCCGGCCGACACCGACGTACTCCGCGGATCCTGCGGCGTGAGATACACCGTCGGTCTCACCGACCTGGGCGAGGACCGCTCTCGCCCTCCCCATCTCCTCTGTCGCCGAAGCGGAAGCGGAAGCGGGCCGGCAGGAGGAGAAGAGCAGGCCGAGACGCGGTCCTCCCGCGCGGCACCGTATCTGTTCTGGCTGATATTCTCGGCCGTCCTGGTGCGCATACTCTACGGTGCGTACGTTCGTGCTGCACGTCCGAGGAGGGGGGCCCAGTTCCGTCGCGGTAACCCTGGTCGTCGTCGTCACGGCGGCGGCCGTGATGATGACGGCAACGATGACGGCAACGATGACGATGATGATGATGATGACCGTTTCCCCCCTGCGTACCGTCATGGCTCCCTACCTTCCGTATTCAACTCCGGTCCTGCAGCAGCAGGAGCAGGAGCTGCAGCAGCGTCGCGTTTCAGAGACAGAGATCCCTCTTCTCTTGCTTCCTCCTCTACGTCCGTATACGTATCCGGTAATCGTCATGAGAGCACTGGTTTTGGAGGGACGACTCGTCGATGAAATCACACACACACATTCATCACTGCCCCACCACCACTCTTCAAATAAATTCTTCTTGTCATCGCATGGAAGAAGAAGAAGAAAAAGTGATTGGATTGAAGACGGGAAAATAACTGTATCTCAATGCTACACTGACGCCCCTTTATCCAAACCCCTTGCCCAACTCCCGAAATTTCAACATGAAGAAAGGAAGAGAAAAAAAAAAGATACCTCCCTACTTCCAAGTTGACATGTCCTCTAGAGAAAAAGAAAAAAAAAGGGGGGGAGACATTAGAGAAGAAGGCAAAAAAAGAAGAAAAAAAGGACAGAAAAAAACAAGATTACCTTCCACTACCCCGCATATTGCACATGTACACATCCTTTTCCATGCTTCAATCCCACTTTCTAGTAGTACATGGTGGACAGGTATCGAGAGAAAAGAAAGAGAAAATCCACCACCTCTTCTTGGTTGTTTTTATAAGAACAGCATGCTCGGACCCCCCCTCCCTATAGGGACCTCGACGCCAGGCTTTTCTTAGCATCGTTATGCGAGCAGATATGAACGGATGGTGGCTCTCCAGGCACGTTTCATGACACCCTCTCTTCCTAGGCAGGCCGTCGTCGCCGTCGAGTCGTGCCATTTGTAGTCGTGCATGCACATGCACAGGCGCGTGTGCGACAGCGGGCGTTTCCGGGACTTTCTCCATCCAGTGATCAGATCATTATTAGGCGTGCACAGCCATGACATCCATCTTGTCAAATGATCGAGAGCACGTGGGGCACTTTCGCATACGGTTGCTGATTCGGTCTTCGATGCACTTGTTGCAGAACAGGTGTCCGCACGTCTTCAAGGCCGTGTTCTTGAAGTTGTTGCGGCAGATGGTACACAGCGCAAACGTCTAGACACGCAATCACAGTCAGCGTACATTCGAGCTCCAGGGCTCCATCTTGCCGGCCAACGCATGCACTCACCCGAAGCATCTCCTCCTCTTCCGACGAGTTGCTCAGTGCCTTGCTCTTCCAGTTGTCGCGGTCCTTCTGCATCGTCTCGAGCCGGACCTTGAGCTTCTCCACCTCTGTCTCCTGCGTCGCGTTACGCTCCCGCACCACGGCTGACGCGGCGTCCTTGGACTTGACCAGGTTGGTGAGATCGCCCACCTGTTTGTTCAGCGACCCGCGGAGCCGCACAGCCTCCTGATGCGCCGACTCGAGCCTCTTATTCTCCGTCACCAGCATGGCGTTGGCCTGGCGAAGGTCCGAGAGCTGCTTCTCCAGGTTTCCGAGCAGCGTCCGGTTGAGTGCCTCGTGGTCCTTGAGTTGAGCAATAATCTCCGAACTTTTGCCGTTCTGGTGCCGTAGTGATCGGATCTCGTTGTTCCTCGTGTCGGCGTCCTTGCGCGCCGCAAAGTACTTTTGGTCGGCCTTGCTCTTCTCCGCAATCAGCAGAGATACCCGCTCCTCCAGAGCCGCAAAGTCCATGACCTTCTTCTGCGCCAGGTCCTTCATCCTCTTGTAGGCCTTTTCTATCGACGGCAGCTCTTGGTTGATGGACCGGAAATCAGCCTGCAGCTTCTTGTACTTCGCGCGAAGGTCCTCGACCGACAGCTCGGCAACGTCCTCGGTTTCCGTCATTTCGATGTCGTTGTTCCGTTGCAGGCGCGAGAGCTCCGATTCCAGGGCTGAGATGCGCTCGTCCTTGGCCGACGCCAGCTCCTTGATCTGCTCCATTGCTACCTTCTCTTGGTCCATGCTGGCCTTTCGCTGTGTGTTGTCGGCCAGGATCTCATCTCGCGCGGACCGGACTCGGGCCAGGTCCTGGTCCCGAGACACTATTTCCGCCTCGAGTTCTTGTGTAACGTGGTTCGCATCCGCCTCAAGCTGGGCGCGGAACGCTGATCGATCAGCTCGCATCGCCTCGGCCTCCTCTCTCAGTTGCTTGTTCGACGCCTCGAGGCTGTTTAAGCGCTTGATGAGGTCCTCGTTCTGAATCTTGAACTGCTTGAAGACGTCTGATCGTACCAGATCCTCATCAGACCATGCCTCTCGCCTCACCTTGAGCGACGTATTTTCCTCCTGTATGACCTTGATTTCGGCCAAGATCTTGTCCAGCTGCTCCTTTTGCTTCGTCGCGGCAGCCGTAGCCTCTTCGTACTTGAGCAGAAGCTCGCTGCTGTTGCCGTTGGCCTCCTCTTTCTTGGCTTCGGCGCCATCGCCTGGTGCACCTGCTGGGCGGGTCGCGTTGGCGAAGGCTTGCTGCTCCAACTTTTGCACCTGTGCACTCTTTGCGCGGTCTAGCTTCTTCTCGGCCTTGAAGTATCGTAGCGTCGCGGCATTGAGTTGCTCCGAAAGGTCCTCCTTCTCGGCGTGTAGGCGGTCGAGCTTGACGAAGAAGGCCTTTTCCGACGCTAGTAGGCTGCTGATCTTGGCTTCCAACTTGGAGACCTCGGGGGGTATCTGGCCTCGGTTGGCCGCCAGGTAGGTCAGGAATGTCTCTACTTTGGACAGTATCGTCTTCTCCTTTTCCTGCAGGTGGCTCTCAAACTCGGGTACGTCCTTGAAGCTGACACTGCTCAGGTACGGCGGATCGGCTGTACGCAGTCAGTTAGTCTCGATGACAGACGGTGCTGGGATTGGACGGGACGGGGGTGTACCTGAAGAGTCGGCAGTTTTTGTGACGGTGCGCTCGGCCATAAGTTGAAGCCGCTCGACAAGCTGATAACCGGGTTGAGTCAGTGGGAAAGTCGGACCCGTGAATGCTGGACATGGGACTCACCTCGAGGCACCACGAGTGCATTATCCTTAGCTGGTCTTCGTCGTGCACGCAGCGCTTACGCAAGTCTTCCCATCGGGCTTCGGTATCGGCGAGTTTGCGCTTGTATTCTTTCATCTGGCGGAGTATGGCCTCTTTTCGGAAGTCCTGAAGGTCACGTCAGCGAACAAGGTCCTCACGCGACCGTGAAACGACGGCAGACGAGCCAGGGATGCCAAGCGGAGGGTCGGGACGGGCGTGTGGTAGTCCCTCCACTGAGGCCCGAGCCGCTCTCATGCCCAACCGAGACCGGGGTGCGATAATCAGGGGCACGCGAGGGAAACAACGCGTCGTCTTGCCGAGGTGAAGAGTATGTGGCGTCGAAGGCAGAGAAGGCAAGGGGCAGCGGAAGAATAACGAGGGACGGGGTAGAAAAAAACGTACATCAACCCAGATCTCCTCCCTCATATCGACGGGTTCGTCCTTGGCCTTGGAGCCATTGACGGCAACGCGCTTGCTGGGGGGAGCCAGCTCATCACTCACGGCAGACCTCTTCCGGTCCTCCATTTTTTGAGCGGAAAGTTGGAGCAGAGAGAGATGGAATAGTCGTCGTGGGTTAGACGACCGATACGGGAGGTATCGTCGTAGCAGCAGGCATCAGACGGCGGGCGCGTTGTTTGGTCAAAAGTTGATGGTTGAGGATTAAAGGTAGTAGAGAGGGAGGGAGGAGGGGGGGGGGGGGGGGGGGGGGGGAGGGGGGGGGGGGGGGGGGGGGGGGGGGGGGAGGAGGATTTCGGAAGACGGCGCGATCGAAGAAGAGGAAAAAAACGGCGGAAAGGGGAGGGGGATTCTACGCGCCAAAGACGGCCGTTGAACCAGATGTCGTCCCAGGGCCAGACGTGTGGGCGACCATGGATCGAAAGGCTTGGTTGGGGTGGAGTGGTTGGGAGGTGTGACTTGGTTTGAATGAAGGGGAGAGTGAACGGTGTGGCCTCTCTCTCTGATTAGGAATTGAAATTTCGAGGTTGATGAGTCGCAAGAGCCGAACAGCAGTGGAAGGATGAAAGGCCTGGGGGGGGGACAGTGGGAAGCACAGAAGGCTTCAGTCCAACTGATCCATACTGTGGAGTCCAGCTCTAGCGAGCCTGCTCAGTGTCCCCGAACGCCTTAACAGACCTGGAGCGCCTCCATTATCAGGGCGCCCCAGCAGAGTCTGGCTGGCCTTAGGAGAGAGGCGTCAGCCTAACTGTAATTAAATGGGAATTAGCGTACGCCGTATCCAACTCCGAGTTTCTGGGTGGGTCTCTTATCGGGGCTGCAGCGCCGGATAATATTCGGCTTATTCGCAATGGATCCTACATGTAATCTGTGCATTTGTCTGCCCCGCAGCCGCCTCTCTTTTTGACGCTCTCGATTTTTCTTGATTTTTTTTTTTTGGTAATGGGTCCCTTTTTTCTTGGCAGAGTCATTATTATTATACTTTTTTTTCTTTCTTTTTTTTTCCTCTCTTTTGCCTTCTCATTTTCATTCTCGATCCAACAAAGAAGTGGCTCTAGTATATTATCGAAATGTGGTGAAAGAAGCGTGTCTGCTGACTCTTCCTTACTACTTGTCCCATCTTCTTTCCTGTCCTGTCATCTAATCACCTTCTACCTTCCCTCCCTTTACTTCCTTCGCTTATTCACAACCCCACCCACGTTCAGAAACACCAAAGCACAATGAGTTCCATGTTTAAGAAGAAGGGCGGGCCAGCCTTCAAACCCAAGATTCCGTCTGCCCGCCCTCGTCCGGCATCAGCAGCGTCAGCAGCAGCACCGCGGCCCGATCCTGTAGAGAAGGTGCCTACCCCCGAGTCGATACCATTGGACTCTCCAGATACCCAGACACCCCTCCAAGATGGCCCCGCAGTGGCCGCTGAACCGGGCCCCTCCTCCCCTCCGATCGCAACGACGTCACCGGCGATGACCGATCCGCAACCCGCTAGTAAAGAGCCGACATCTCAAGCCCGAGTAGAAGGACCGGGGGGACAAGCTCAAGCACCCACGCCACCAGCGTCTGCACCGGTCGCAAGCACAAGCACCACCGCCGACGCGCCAGAAGTCAGCTCTGCGCCACCGAAAACAGCAACAGAGACGACCGCCCGCGTGGCTATCACTCCAGACATACGCGCCTCGCAGCGACAGTCTGCACGTGCGATCTCGGATACACCAGCGCCGGAACCGGTATCAGAAGAGACTCCGGCACAGAATGCGACGTCCGAGACCGTGACAGAGCCGCCATCAGCGGCACCGGCACCAGCACCGAAACCACGAGCAAAACGTGCTGCAGCCGCCAAGCGCAAGGAGACCGAAGACGACACCGCCGCACCCGCCACAGCAGCCACTAGGGAACCAAAGCGGCAACGGAAGATGCAGCGGACAGAAGGCAACGGTCAAGTGGCCGCCGCAAGGGAGGAGAGCGCACAGCCGGCCACGACCAGGAAGCGGCGCACGCGATCAACCAGCGCAGCAGAGAAGCGGGCGGCGCGACGGGCCCGTTCGCTGACTCCCGAGGACGCCGAGGATCAAGTAGTGGATCTCCAGAAGCTCAAGATGTCTGATCTGACGCGCGACCTGCACATCGGCAAGAAATTCAGCAGGCACGACGAGCTACGCGAACGCGAACGACAGGCCAAGCTCAAATCCAAGGGTCAAGCAGAAGGCGACAACGACGACGACAGCAACAACAACAACAACAACAACAACAACAAAAACCAAGCCGACGGTGATGTCGCCTCCTCTTCCTCGTTATCCTCCTCCTCAGCAGCAGCAGCAGCAGCAGCACGAGCGGCACCACGACAATCGGCATCCACGCTGTCTAGTGGCGGCGGCGCCTCAGCGGGACCTCAATTCCGTATCGTAGATGGCCAGATCGTTCTGGACCAGTCCTCGCTGGTCATGGACCGACACGCCCGCGCCGCGGCGACGGCGCAGGACATGGAGGCCATAGAAGAGAACGACTTCACCCGGCTCATCACCAGCAACTCCTTCATGAACACGTCCAAGCTCCGCGGCCCCAATATCTGGACGGCCGACGAGACGGAGCTCTTCTACCGCGGCCTCCGCATGTTCGGCACGGACTTTGAGATCCTCTCCAAGATGTTCCCGGGAAAGCAGCGCCGCCACCTCAAGCTCAAGTTCAACCGCGAGGAACGCCACAACCCCCACCTCATCGACGCCGCCATGTGCGGCGTCAAGACCACCAAGATGGATATCGACGAGTACAAGGCCTTCACTGGCGCCGAATTCGAATCCGTCGAGTCCATAGAGGCCGACCAACGTCGCATAGAGGAGGAGTTCGAGGCCCAGAGGCAGCGCGCCGCACACGAGCAGGAGGAGGCCATGCGCAAAAAGAGGGAAGAACTCTTTGCCGACGACGATGACGCAGCAGGTGCCGCTGACAAGGGGAAGAAGAAGAAGGGTAACAAGAAGAAGGGAAGACAGGTTGTCGAGTATGGTCTCAATGGGGAGCCCATCAATACATAGTAGTTTCTCCTTTTCCCCCCCCTTTTTCTTTGTCCTTCTTCTCCTTATTTTCTGTCTTCGTATCTTCTATCTGTTTCCATATACAGTCTTCTTTTGTGCTTCCTTTTTTGTTTTCTATATGAATTTCTTCCTTTTTTTTTCGTTCTACACTCAGGCGTTTAAAGCATGGTCAGGACAAGGTTTAGGTAGGTAGGTAGGTAGGGATTCCTAGGACCCCATCTTCGTATGAAGTTGGCATGATAGAACATGGGTGATGTTTTAAAAGGCAAGATGGCCGGATTCGAAATTCAACGAGGGAATTTTCTATTGTTTAATTTTTCTTTTTTTTTTAAAAAAAAACCTCAGCTTTGTGAATCACCACGTACTTCCATCAATGTTTTGTTTCATCCCTACCTTGTATCCTTTTTTTCCTTCCCCCTAATGTAAAAATGCAAAAAGAATATATATATAAGAGAACCACAATACGTTTTCTTTGGACCATCAAGTGTTTTCACGGTGTTATAAAAAGAAAGAAAAAAAGAAAAAAAGCCCCCTATTGAAAAAAAAATTTGAAAAAAAAAGGAATAGAAATTTGGTTATTCGTAATCATAACAAAAACCTCCCACGGAATCTTCCTGGTCTACTCATTCCATCAACTTTACCACCCTTCTTCTGCTTCTTCTCCCCCCCCCCCCTCTGTCTTATTCGTTTTCTTCTGTTTTTTCTAAGCCCCAACATCCTTCTCAATTAATTCGTGGGGGGCTCATCGTCATCGGGCTGGTCAAAGAGGAAATTGGCAGCGAGCTCCTCGTTCTTATCACAGGCAAAATAAGCTTGAATTGCCTGGTCGCGGTCGAAACCAAGGCGGCATAACTATGACGGTGTTAGCTTTTACGGTGTACCACGTAAAGAGGTTTTCGAAAAATAAATAAATAAAAGGGGAGGGGAGACAGAAACACACCCGCTCAATAGCATCACGCTCCTCCTCCGTCACGGAGATGGCCTGGGCACCGGGGGGCAACGGCGCGTCATCGTCGGCGTCCTCGCCCAGCAGCTGGAGAAACTGATCCGGGTGGGAGGCGATGAGCTGGGCCAGCTGAGGGTTGCCGGCACCCAGCTGCTGCAGGATGGGCTCGAGCATCTGGGGCTGCTGCTGCACCACCTGACGGAGCTGCTGGAACTGGGCGTTGTTGCGGAGGAAGTCCAGATTCCCCAGGTCTCCACCGGCACCACCGCCCGCTGCCGCCGCTGCGGCAGCGGCAGCAGCGGGGTTGCCGCCACCACCTCCGCCTCCGTTGCCGCCTCCCTGCTGGGCGGCGAGGTCGAACAGGTTCACGTGGTCATCGTCGTCACCGTCATCGTCGTGGGTTCCGGCGGCGGCAGCCTGTCGCTGTTGCTGTCCAGGCTGGGCGTCTTCGGGGATACCCTGTTTCATCCTTTGTCAGCCTATCTGTCTTTCGTCCTCCCCGCATGCTTCTTCTTCCGTCCTCTCCGTCCTCCGCCCTTATTCTGCTCGTTTTCAGCTTGTGTTTCACCGGGGGACGGGAACCAACAGTCAAGAGGTACTCCACGGCGCGGTCGGGGTTGTTGAACGCGGCGCGCATGGCAGCCTCAATTTGGCTACGCTCGAAGCCCATGGCTTCCATGTTGGCAATGGTCTCGACGAGCTCAGTGCCTGTGGCCAGGGCGGGAGCAGCAGCGGCGCCCTGGTCGGCACCGGCAGCCGGGGCAACAGTCGACCTTTGCTGCGGTGTCGGCGTGGCAGGAACGGCGGACGTGCTGGCGGGGGCGGCGCGGGCAGCTGGGGCAGCCGGCGTCGCTGAGCTCGAGGTCTGGGCAGGTGTGGCGGGGGGTGCGGCGGCGGCGGGGGCGGGCTTCTCCTTGGGCTGCCCGTCGTCTCGTGTCAGTATCTCCTCTCTTCATCCCGTCCTCTTCTTCTTTATATTTGTTCGTCCACTCGTCCGAGGCGCATACCTTGTTCAACATGCACACGACGTAGCCCTTCTCCTCGATGTTGTAGCTGGCGACGGTCTCATCGTCCTTGAGGATCTTGCCTGCGGGGGCGCATGTCAGAGACCTGTACGTTTCCATGTTTTTCTGTCTTCGCCCACCCGGAAAAAAAAAAGCAGACGCAGAGAGAGATGGCGAGAGAGAAAAAGAAAGGCACTTACCAGAGTGGATGAGCTTCTGTTGCTTAGGATCCCATCCCTTTTCGGCGAAAATCTTCTGCTTAACAGCAGATATCTAAAAATCGGAAGTTGTCAGCGCGGGCGATGGGAGGAGGGGAAGAGGGGAGGGGGGGGGGTTGGGGGGGGTTGGTTCGCATTTACCAGATCCGTCGGCTCGGCATCAAGCGTAAACTTTTGCTGCTTAAGATCCTATCGCATCGCAGTTAGACGAGAAAAGGGCCTTCCAGGTGTCATAGATGGGCGCGCAGGCTTCATTGTTGAGAGGGGAGAGGGAGAAGGAGGCGGGAGGCGGGGGAGCTCGGTTGGCCCGACATACCTTGAAAGTTATCTTCATGGTGGGCAGCGTTCCAGTTTAGCAAAGAAATAAAGAAGGGAACAAAAAAAAGAGCAACCTTGTGCAGAAGACGGGGGCGTACGTGTTGCTTTACAGCAGGAGATAGAAAAAGAATTTTCTTATGTTGGGGAGTGAAGGGGGGGGGAGGGGGAAAAGGTAGAATGAAAGGAAAAGGAAAAGGAAGCTAGACAGGTAATAGAAGAAAAGAAGATGGACTTTGAGATGGCAGACAGGATGATGTGTTGGAGGATGTTGCTGTGTGTTGATTTCAGTGGCGGTAGTGGTGCATATTTAGGCTACGAGTTTGCGGAGACGACTATTAATACCATTATTATCTACCAGAGACATTAATACAAGTAGACGGAGGTAAAAGTGAGTATTTTCATTATTATCAGCAGTGATAATTAGTGGTGATGGTGGTATCAGTAGTAGTAGTAGTACCACTCACTGTAGTAATGATCGAACCGAAAACTCCCCCAATTTACCCGACCTCGCTGCCTGCTGCTTGCAACTTTTTCCCTTCTTCTTCGCTGGGCGGGCCCATCCCCATGTCATTCGGTGCTTTGGTACTGCTTGGGTATGACGACGAGGTTCACTGCCTGCTGCTGCTGCTACTGCGGCTTGCGCTTCCTTGCCCACTTGTGAGAACGAATCAAGCCGTTTCCAGTCCCGCACCTACGTTTGGGACCTTGGGTATGATGACAGTTACTAATAGTTACTGTACTAATCACTGGGACGTGGGAAGGACGGGGTATCAGCCACTGTGGCTAAGCCAATCCTGTATTATTAATACTTGCGGGGCTCACACACAGACACACAATACAGACAGTCAGCAGTCATCAGGCAAGAAAGAACACGGATTACCCCCCCCCCCGTACAGGTATGAATACTGGTTGGTTCACGGATGATTACACTGGTGGTGAAAATTGGCCTTGTCATACATTCATAAATATCATATCTACATACAGAAATATGTCCGTCTAAAAATATATATATACCCAGATTCGAAAGAGAAGAAGAGAGGGAGAAAAAAAGGCTGCAGTCCACCATATGGAAAAGAAAAGGAAGAAAGAAAAGAAGCGCCATGCTCAAGCCCAGATAAAGACTAAGAGAAAAAACAAGAAGAACGGAGGAAAGGGACGTGGTCAGGAGTGGAATCACTCCCTCACTTCTGACCGTTATCCTGCTTCCTGCTATTATACCGCGTTAAGCTCAATCTCGACCCAGCACCGAGCACGAACTCGGGTATGGGCGGGGTGAGCGGCTCATCGGCCGTCAACGACCTCTTCTCATCGTTCTCGTCATCCTCGTCGACCTCGAGGATGCTCCCCGCCCCGCCGTCGACCTGCATCCTCCTCGCGCTCCCATAGAGGGTCTCGAACGAGCTCTGCCTGCTCAGGGGGCTGGCGGACGCCAGGGAGCCCGCGCTCGCCAGCCGCCTGAGAGACGAGTGGCTAGCGTGGTGGGGGATGATTCTGCCCGCGTCCGGGGACGCCCTGACGCTCGTTCCCGGGCTGGCAACCGGAGGAGGGTTCCTCGAGTCGGAACGGAAGAGGGGGTGGATATCCAGCTCTGCTGCTGCCGTACCTGAACCTGCTCCTACACCTGCCGCCGCCGCCGCCGCCGCCGCCGCAGCAGCAGCAGCAGCAGCAGCAGTGGTGGCGCTGACGCTCCTGCCCCTCTGCTGCAGGGTGAGCGGAGGGGGACGTGGCCTCGTCTGCCCGGCGCCGGACATGATGACGGGGGAGGAGGTGGAGCGGGTCGTGGTCGTGTGGCCGAGGACGGACTGCGCGTCCCACGCTGCTGCCGAGCCGGCGCTGCTGGTCAGACTGGCCACGGAGTCGACGCGCGACAGGCTTCGCTGGCGGTCGAGGAGCTGGGTCCTCGACGTGGTGGGATGGATGGTGCGGTGGGACCCGGGCCACCGGTGACGGCTGTCGAGGGAGTGCATGTCGATGGAGTCGGTGGAGCTGCTGCAAGGGCGGCTACCAGCTGCTGCTGCCGCCGCCGCTGCCGCTTCCGCTGACGCTGCCGCTGCGGTCGCCGCCGCCGCCGAGGGACGCACGCGGCTGTACCGGATGCTCTTGACGCGGGATTTGGGAGAGGAGCGGGGGCTGTCGTCGTCGGTGGCGGTACAGAGCGAGTCGGCAGCGTTGCAGGTCGTGGTGGAGAGGCCGCGTCGGCGGCGGCAGTGCACGTAGTAGGCTGCCAGGAAGCCGAACTGGCACAGGGCAGACAGGGCGAGCATGACCGCCTCGGCGGCGAGGAACGAGCTCCTGGGTCTTCCCGGTCGGATGTCCTGCGCCGTGCTGGCCAGGCAGGATGCGCAGACGACGGAGGCGGCGGTGCCGACGACGCAGGCCAGCCCGGCCAGGACGACGAAGACGGACAGGCTGGCGGCGGGTGCCCGGCCGAGCAGGCTCGCCAGACGGTTCGACAGGATGGACAGGATGAGGCAGGCGAGCATGAGGCCGATGAGGGCCTGGAAGGAGGCTGCCAGGATCGAGGCCGTCTTCAGGGCCGGCGAGGCGGCCACGTGCACGGCCAGGATGACTGACAGGCAGGTGAGTGCCGTGGTGGCGGTGAGGGCGGCCAGGCCGGTGCCGAAGATGAGGATCCGCCCCATCTTGTCCCGTTGGCCGTTGTATAGATGTTGGGGGAGGGGGGGAGGACGTGGGCGGACTGCCAGCGTGCAGTCTACCTCTCGTCTCTCTTTCTTCTTCTTCTTTTCTCTTCGCGTATAAGTTTGGCGGTATATATGGCGCTGTTGTGTGTGTGAGAGAGAGAGAGAGAGGGGGGGGGAGGGAGAAAGAGCGAGGAGAGAGACAATGGTTGGCAGTCTTTAGAGATATAATAGCTCTGTGGAGAGGAGTGAGAGGGGTGAGGGGGGCGATGCGAGGTAGGCTTTGAGCGTGCAAGTCGGTGTCCCCGAGCTGAAAGTCGTAGTAATGTTTGGAGGATATCCCTGATGCAACGGTCGAAAGAGGGGTGACAGTCGAGTCAGGGTTGCGTAGGAGATGAGATGGGGGGAGGAGGCGAGATGAGATGCTGGCGAGAAATGCAGAGTGGGAATTATATGAGGTAGTTGAGGAATGCTTCCCGGGTGTAAGCTGACAAGGGCCAGGAGTAGTGCCAGAAGCTACAAGGCCATTTGACCCGATGATCTGAGGCTAACGAAGGGAATATGGTAGCGGGGGAGGGGAGTGGGCACCTCTCTCGAGACACGAGATGGGGTTTCTTGAATGCCCGAGTTCCAGGCTTGAAGGGTTGGTAGGACAAGAAGGAGAAAAAGAATGAGGAAGAAAGGGTAGAGTGGAGTCTCTTTTTTTTTTTACAAGACTCTGTAATAAGACAGTTCCGTCCGGTTGAAGAAAGAGAGTAAAAAGCACAAGTTCACAGCAAGAAGAGAGTGTCAAGGGAACAGATGACGGGGTGGGGGTTAAGGAGTGTATAGAGGTCAAAAGGGAGAGAGAAACGAGCGTGTGTGTGTGTACGAGTAGATGTGTAGGAAGGGATTGAAGAAGAGGGAGAAGAGAGGGAGGGGGGGGGAGAAGAAGAGAAGCGTGTATGTGTCTCGGGTTGGGGAAGCGTACAGGCAAGTATTGACGAGCAAAAGCCCTCGGCTTGCGGGTAGTATTATTCTCATGAGATCCAAACAAGGATCAGAGAAGTGAAAGAAGGAAGAAGAAGAGAGAGAGAGAGAGAGAAGAAAGAAAGAAGAAGGAAGAGAGGAGAAAAGGCGAGATGGGAAGAGAGAGAGGGGAAAAAAGCAAAGAAGAGAAGATGAAAATAATACATAAATATAATAACCAGTCAATGGCAACAGCACTACAGGCCTACTACGGTTAAGAAGATGGGGAGGGGGACCCTCTAAATCCAGGTACAAGGCGCAGCTCCAGATCTCCACCTGCATGTCTAACGGGGTCAGAGAGAGAGAGAGAGAGAGAGAGAGAGAGCATCGGTATTGACTGTATTACTTATTACTTGATTGTACCTGTAAAGATGGGTAGTTGGTGGTAGCGGTGATAGTAGTAGTAGTAGTAGCAGCAGCAGTAGTAGTAGTAGTAATAGTAGTAGTAGTAATAGTAGTAGCTGGTAGTAGTAATGAATACGAGTAGGGCACAAAGCAAAAAAAAAAAAAAAA